GTTCCAATATGAAGAGAGACAGGGCTCACCCAGGAGAACGGGAACCGTCCCCCCCAGCTGACTGACCACAGTGTGACTCAACATCCCACCCACACATCACAGTCTCTGTTCTCCCTAGGCCCTATGGCCCATTTCAGCTGGCATGGGAAAGTGCGGGTAGGGAGGGTTTGAGGTTCACACTCAGCCCAGGGAGATGCTGTATAGCAGCAGCAGCAGCTCCACAGGAACATGGAGTGTGGGCCCTCACACACACAGAAAACCCAGGTCCTCCTGGCTCCCTCCACAGCCATAAGGAGGGTAGGGACCAAGACTCAGTGCTGGGTGACTGTGGGCAGCCCAGGTCTGTCCACCCTGGGAGGATCCTGGCTGCTGTCCGTGGTGCTGAAGATCAGGCCCATTTGGAGAGCGGTGTGCAGACCAAGAACAGCAATCACACCTGAGAGGGCTCTGGGAGCTCATTTACCTGCCCAGTGTCCTGTATTGATAATGAGAAAGCAAAAGCCTAGAGAAGAAGTGTTTCCTTGAAGGGCACATAGTGGGTCCCTTCCGTTTTGCCTCCTGGTGACCTGGAGCTCCATGTGGCCCTGTGTGGCTGCTGTACCACCTCCTCTTGGCACTAACTTATAAATTGTCTTTCCCAGGCAACCGCCTCTTGACCTGCTGGCTTTTTTATCTCTCAAGTTCCCATTTGCACAGGATGTCTGACACCACCCTGCATGACATGATGCTCTGAAGCACCTAGGAGGGAAAAAATGAGGAGTGAAGGAACTCTGGTCCTTTTCTCAAGATCCTCAGCAAGCTCCATGTTTTCAGCCACAGTAGCCTCCTTTCCCCATAAAACTGCAGGCTCCATAGGGCAGAGCATGTAAGATATTACACAGGAGAGAACTATGTTGTCAGTTTTTCTTTACTGCAAGCCAAGGCTTGAGAAAAACAACTCAGTGGAGGAAAGATGCATTGGGCTCACGGTTTCAGAGGTTTCGGTCCATTGCTTTAGGCCTGTGGTGATGCAGAAGCACCATGGTGGAAGGGCATGGCAGAGGAAATCTGCTCAACTCATGGTGTCCAGGAGGTAGGGAGAGTGGAAGAAAGCCAGAGAGAAAAGTGCTTGGGACACGGTACAGTTCACAAGATCACACATCCACTAGCCACTCCCTTCAACTGGGCCTCACCTCCTAATAATACAGCTGTGATCCACGGATTAATCCATGTAGGAAGTTAGTGCCCTATGATCCCATCACCTCCAAAGCTCCACCTCTGCATACATGAGCCTTGGGGGACACCTTAGGTCTCAGCCATAACAAGGCCAGATAACTGGGAGATCCTAAGCATCGGTCTCCTCAAGATGAGAGCTCAGAACAGGCCTGGCCATGTGCTTCTCTCTGCCTCTGTCGCCCTGCAGATGGATGTGGTTGGTTTTCTTAAAGAAATATTAAACTTGTTGACTTATAAGGGAACCTGGTAGTTCCAAACTCACCTTTCTAGCTATAATTGAGTTGTGCCATGCATGCGATGGCTGTGCTGAGTCATTCCATTAGAACCCGCAGGTATTAGCAGGGGAAAGGTTGCACAGCACATTTCAAAGCAAGCTGCATCTTGGGAGAGACTGGGGCACCCAGGGTGGGTGGAGGAACAAGCAGTACCCAGGAATCACCCAGAGGAACAGTTGTATGGAGGCAAGGAGCACTGACCTTCACACAGGAGATTTACAGGGAAGCCTGAGGATAAGAGAGGGGGCTCCAGGTGGGCTCCACCCAAGGCAAGCAAAAGCTGAAAATATCAGAGAGCTGAGTCCTTCAAGTGTCCTCTTCCAAGGAAACTACACAGAAAAGTCACCACAGGTGGTTGGACAAGTCAGGATGGGGTTGAGCTGCGGAAACAAAGAGCCCCACATGTGCGCAGTGAACAGGAATCTGGAGGAGGGGAGGTGCGGGGAGAAAAGGGCCTGCCTCTCCTAGGAGGAAAGACCCCAGAAGTGGCACACAGAGAAAAGTGTTCCCCCTACCAGAGGGAATGTAGTCACACCAGAACCTGGCTCAGGGAAGCAGGGAGTCTGCACTCTTGGACAGCCACCTGCCCAGGAGTGGTCAAAAGCTTGGTCCCCACCTGAGGCCTTATTGAGAGGTGGTGGAAACTCCTAGAAATGGGGTCAGGAGGAAGAAAGCTAGATCACTGAGGTGCATTGTTGAAGGAGATATTGGGACCTGGTCTGTTTCTGGGTCTCTCTGCTTTCTGACCTCTATAGGGTGAGCAACTTGGTCCATTATACACCTGTGCCATGATGCACTGTGACACCATTGTCCTAAAGCACCAGGGCCAAGTGACCACAGATTCTGAAGCCTCTGAAGCCATGAACTGACTCCTGGAACCAGGAGCCCAGACAAACCTTCCCTCCCTCTAAGTCATCTATCCCAGGTATTTTGTCTCAGAGGTGGAAAGCTCACTGACACAGCACTCTAAGGGATAAATGGGTCATGCTACCGGGAGACACAGGATGTCCACGTGGCCCTCCATAGTGTTCCCTCCTACTCTTGATCACTTCCTGCCAAGTTCACATTGGCTGAGAATTTGTCCATCACACAAATTGCATTGAATAATTCATCACTCCTGGACCAGCTGAAAATCACAGGCCAGATGGTGCTGCCTCCTGGCAGGAGAAGGTGACAGTTCAGGGACTTGGAGGAACAAGAGCAAGTTCACAATGGGCACAGCAAGAGTTCGCAGGAGGCCCGACACCAGAAGAGTCCACATGCCACGGCCTCTGTTCCTGAATTCCCCTTGCCTGGGAGGCCACTGTGAAACCAAACCAAGGCCACCTAAACAGTTCTCCACCTCTATTTCTCCAGGCTAATGCCCGTGACTTGAGCATTAAATAGTCCTTGCTATATATGCAAGTACTCAGGAGTCAGTCCCAGCACGGCAGCCCAGGCAGCGAGGATGTGGTGAGACCAGAGCTTTTCCACCCTGGTCTTGGTACCACTTTTTTGGAGCATCATTCTCCAGGAGACATTAAGAAGTCTGTGGAACGTTTATAGCCTTTGTCCAAGAATCTTACATTTGACACACTATAAAAGAAACCATCAGAGGTGCTGACGAAGATGTATGTTCCCCGTGATTTTTGCAACTTCATTTAAAATGGCCCCAAATTGCAACTCAAACACCCTATCAACCAGAGATCGGTAAAGCAAAGCAGATTTCTAGCACAATAAATATTATTTCTAAAGACCCTCTCTCCTCCTTGGTGCCCTGTCTGCTCTAGGTCCCCTCTCTCAGGGGCGACAGCTCTCCTTGGGGCGGGGGGCTAGCAGCATCCAGTCTCCCACCCAGAACCCGCTGTGCACCCTCAGTTAGCGGCATCCTGGGAATGAATGGGGACCCTGCAGACTCCCTGCTTGAGAATGGAACCCAAGGCCCTTCCTATGCATCTGAGCTGGGACTACTAAGGACTGAAGAGGCAGCCCCTGGCCGGGACCACCCAGGCCTAAAACTCCCAAAGAGAAAGCTCCTTAGCAGGAGGACCAGTCATTGAAGCCCAGCAGGGGATGCTGGAGATGGCAACCCAGCCGAAGTGCACAGCGGCGTTGTCCTGGAGATGGGGCTGGTGCCCAGCCTCTGTCCCAGGTGCTCCTGTCCCTCCCCGTTTCCTGTGGGCTCACCCTGACAGAGACCCACTGGAACCTGCTCCTCCAGAAGCTGCAGCGGGTGACGAGGCAGTGCTGTCCCTGGGTATTCTGTACGTAGTGAGGTTGTCCCCAGGCCAGCTGCACCATGGGGCCTGCACAGAGGGTGCCTGCTCAGGCCTTCTCAGGACCCCAGTGGTGCCCGGCTCAGTGCCTGGCCTGTGGGCTACCCAGAGTGGCATGGAGGTGCGATGGGACCTGTGGCAAATGGGACGGTTCAGGGTGTGCAGGAGGAAGGGCAGGCTTGGTGGGGGGAGGGAAGGTGCACAGGGGCATGGGCGTAGAGTGCCCCAAGTGTCCACTGGGGGCCTGGGACTTGCCCTGAAGGGGACAGAGCCAGGGATGGAGCCTAAGGAGGCAACACCATAGCCACATGAGGGCTGCTAAGTGGAAGAACCTCAGCGCTGGGGAGGAGAGGGGCACAGCAAGCCTCTCACCCCGCTTCAGCTCGCTCTGGCTTCCCTTGGCGCAGCTGTCAGAGTGAAGGACAACCTAGAGGACTGGTCAGACTGCAGGACCGCCCTGGCCACGGTGACCAGCAGGCAGGGAGGCTGGCCAGACCCGAGGGCGGGGACTTCCTGGATATTCCCCAAGCTCCTTGGGAACCCTGAGGAAGCTCCCTGTTGGATTTCTTGTACCCCCAAGTCACTGCCTAAAATGGAATCACGGCACCTGGAAACCCGGAAGCTGCCTTGGGAAAGACCTCTATTTTGCAACCTCCTCCATCCCCGTGGGCTGCTGTCTCCTGGCATCCTTTCTTCCTCTGACCCCCCTGAATATCTGGCTCACTACTCAGCACTCCCCTACCCCACCCGTGAAAACTCGAGCTGCCTGAGGGGTTCATACCTGGGTTGGGCCTCTCAGAGGGACTGCTTCTCTCGAATGCTTTAAAAACAAGAAAAAGTCACCATTTTTGAAAGACTGGAGTCTTTCCATGACGCTGTCAGGAAACTCAGCTGTGTAGTCAAGTGACCCTCAAGTGACTCCGGGGGACCTTCCTTGTCCTTCCTTATGCTACTGGAGACTTCTGAGCAGAATGGAGAGAGCACCCAAAGGACCAGTGACCATGGCAACCAGGCAGGGTCAGTGTCACACACAGCCTGGCCTCTCTGCCCTGTAGGCAGCCCTGAGCCTGTCCCTGCGGGAGGGATTTTAATCAGGTGCTGCCGCTGGGTATGACCACGGTGAGCCTCCGACAGAAGCAACTGTCCCATTAGGTGCTGGGCTTAGCTCTCAGGACTCCGTTACTACCACTGCTCAGAGCCAAGCGCTGGACCCGAGTCCGCGGGGGAGGGTACAAAACAGCAAACCGAGGTCATCTCTCAGGAGCATCAATTTTACTGTAAACAGGAATTTATTAAGAACCATTTCTGTTATCTAGAAGCATGCGAGAAAAGACAGAGAAATGCAGGGCAGGGGGAAGCACCCTAGGGGTCTTCAGGACTCGAGGGAGCTCTGGGTGTCCTTGGCGCTGGAATTCTATGCAGAGAAGCCGGAGGCCCCTGGGCTGGGCACAGCGCAGCCTGACTTCCTGTCTGGTTCCATCCTCCCTCGGCTGTCTGAGTCCACGCAGGCTGAATCCTTCACCACGATGTCAGGTTACTCAGGTTTTCCACTTAAAATGCAGGAAGACATCGAAATGGACTCTCTTAGTGACTTGAAATAGACAAGACATTACTCTTGACTACAGCCACCCTGCCGCGCAATAGCTCTTCGAGATGACGCCTCCTGTCTACCTGAAACTTGGTGCCCTGTCACCAGGAAGTCTCTTCCCTCCCTCCTTCTCCCCGCTCCCCACCTGACCATTATGATTTGTCCCTAAAAATGACATGAATAAAGGCACAGACAATACAAAATAAAATGCAAGATGTGTGGCTGGACCACTCCATTTGTTTCACTGTCTGTGTCTGCTGCCTACCGCTGTCACTGGAACCACTCTGTTTCTGAGTTCAGGACGTGTCTTTAGGGCTGGTAGACAACAACGTATCTGTAAAATAGAGGTGGCGATTCCAGCACCCCGTGCCAGCTCCGCCCGTCACAGGTGTAGGGTGAGTTCCGTCACACCATGGCACTGCCCACAAGAGGGGATTTTCCCTGATGAACAGGACTTGCTGCTCATGAGGGGGTGATGAAGTGGGCCACAGGGCCATGTTGGGGCTCTGCAGGGAGTGTGGGTCCTCATCTGCAGACTGTGGAGGGGAGTGGCGGGCACAGAGGCTCTTCTGCTGTCATTCTGCCCTGACTGCTTGTCCCCCCTGGGCAAGGTGATGTGCACGGACGGGCTCACTGACCCTCTTCTTTGCGGGGACAGCCAAGGTGGTAGTCCCTGCTGTGAAAGGGCAAGGCACAATCCTGGACTCACGGGCTGAGTGTGGGTGGTGCGTCCTGTCCCTTAGCGCCTGGCCTTTGAGCATAAGATGGGCCTGTGGCCTTGTTGAACTTCATCTTTTTTTTTGAACTTCATCTTTATCAGAGATTCTTGCATCTCATGTGGGTCCTAGTCCATGGAAGACATGACTGTCAGGATTGTGCGGTTCCAGTGGTCATGGAGCAGCTCTCTACAAAGACTAGGTGACTATTTCTTCCTCTGGCTGAGCCATGGGGGTTCCACGATGCTTTTCAGCATGGGCTTCTGTCTGGGACTGAGGGTTACAGCTGGCTGATCACGCTCCTCCATTCTGGGGCAAAGGAAGGTAGCAAATTGGAGGCTGCTTCTATGAACATCTGCTGTAGCCCAAAAAATGCGAGGGTGAGAATGAGAAGGGTCACTCACCAGGGCACACAGGATAACACCCAGGTCCCAGACTTCTGCTGGGGAGCAATCATGTGGTCAACCCGGAACATCTCCAAGGCACAATATGGGAGGGGGCTGTGCAACGTGGACAGTTCCTGTCTGGCTGTGAACCTGCTGCTCAGCCCCACTTCCTCTGATTCTGATGCTTCCTCTGGCATCTGTTAGGATGTTCTCCAGCTGCAAGTAACTGTGTGTGACACCCTTCTTGTAGCAGTGGCACAATGCACATGTGATCTGTGTATTGCAGCCTTCCTTCTCCAGCGATGACCGGACTCCAGCATGTGGTGCACTCACAGTGGCTTACCTGTGTACTCCACAACTTTGTGTTGAGATGTGCTGAGCCCGCTGGGTGAAGCATAGCCTTCATTGTACCCGCTTCTGATGGAATGGTGAAGTCTTCTGTCCCTCTTGTAGGGCTTCCACAGCTACTTCTGCCCTGGTGAAGGTGGATTCAGCCAGTTTTAACTGGACCCTGGTGTCCTGGAAGATGGTCCTTAGGACTCCATGATGATCCATGAGGGTCTCCTCATGGCAGGAGGTGGCCCTGAGGCCCTGCCGTATTGTCACCCGCCTGCTTACTGCTCAAACTAGGCATCACGAAGTAGCAATGCTAACTAATGATGTTAGCTGAATTAAAAAGGAAAAGAAAAAAGAAACTAAAAAAGACAAAAAAAGACAAGTAGAAAATTTTTAAAAAATGAGCAAACATCAAAAACCAACACCCCCAAGCCAAAATCAATAAACCAAAACCACCAAACAAGCTAGCTATGTGTGATTCCAACGGGTCATCAACCAAGAGCTCCACAAATTAGGGATAAAAAACCTCACCACAGCCAGGGCCTTATGAAACTCATGTCTGAAATTCCCTCTTGCTGCCTCCTTATGGAGTCAGAGCACAAAGTGGCCCAGTCATGGCTGGGCATAACCCACGGTGGTTTGTTCACTTTTCTATCTCAAGACCGTATTGGCCAGCTCTTCCACGGCTGGGACTTGACAGCCGCAGCTTACAGGTGGAGAGGTTTATCTGGCTTGTGGTTTCAGAGGATCCAGTCCATGAATGGCTGGCTCCAAAATAAAGATCATGGAGGAAGGGCGTGGCTGAACAGAGCTGTTTAGTTGATGATGGGCAGAAATCAGAGCAGAGAACAATGCCAGAAAGATGAGCCAGGGACCAGATACAGACTCCAAAGTCATACCTGCATGCCCCACTCAGACATATCCAGAAGTGAACAGCTGCTATGCCTATTAAATTGACAATTAAGCTTATCATATTCCACTTCTGTCAACTTAACACTCAGACATATCCACTTAAATCATTCTTAATCTCCAGATAAAGACAATACACACTTTATAATTCCACCTAACATGACACAACTATCCTGCCTATCACCAGAAACACAATAATCTCTTTCCCAAAGTCTCAATGTTTCCAGTATTGCTCAAAGGTGCAAATCCAAAGTCTCCTCTCACGCTCAAGGCAAACCCTTAGCTGTGAACCCCTATAAAATAAGAAAGTAAGTTACACATTGCTAAGTACAATGGTGTTGGCTAAACATTTCTGTTATGGTTTGTGTTTGGATGTTTGCCTCAAAGCCTCACACAGTCATGGGAGGAGTGCTTTTTGGAGGTAGATGAATCTAGAGTTTGTGATTGATTTATTGACTAGTGCTGGGATTATGAGTGTGAGTGTTACACTCACCCTAGGGTGGGTAGCCTACATACAACATAAGGAACAGAAAGAGTCTTCTTGCATGCTCCTACCTTCTTGTTGCTTTTGCTGTTTTTTTGGCACCATGAACTGTTGGCCCTCTGCTATGTGCCACCCTGCCTTGGAGCCAGCTGGTTATGGACTGAAACCTCCACAAACTGTGAGCTAAATAAACCTTTCCTTCCTTAATATTAGGCATCAGGTATTTTGTCTCAGCAACGAGAGAAATGTAACTAAGACAATTCCCATTCTGAAAGAGAAGAATAGGGAGATAAAAAAGAATTGTACTAACACAAAACTGAAACCTCCCAGGGTAAACATTAAGTCCTACAGCTCCCTGTTCCCAGTCAGAACATATGGTGGTAAGATATGAGTTGCAGAATTGGGTGGCCCCATCCCTAAGGCTTTGTCAGTTGCAGTTACATGACTTCTGTCTTGGGTGGGCTCCTCTTGCTGCCTGTGACTCCCCTTAGCAGATCTTGTTCCCAGCATCTCCTACTTCCTGGGTCTCCAGTGCAGCTTCTAACTCACTCCCACAGCTTCACATATCACCATCTCAGGGGTTCCTGGCAAGGACTCTGATGATTCTGTCACACACTTGTTGGTCTCCTAGGTCTTCCTTTGAAATCTAGGTGGAAGCCTCCATGACCCTGTTACTCTTATATGCCTGAAAAACCTGAATCATGTGGATGATGCTAAGGTCTTCTGTTAGCTTGAGCAGTGGTCAGGGCCCCTTGGAACATGGCTGAAGTGGTTTGTGAGTGCTGGATGGCTGAGCAGAGTGAAATGAATCCTGGGGAACCAATTTCCAAGGTGGGCCTTCTACAGCAGGGGTCCAAAGGGCCATCTTCTTAAATGAAAGGTTCATACTTTTGCTTCCTTGAGCTTGCCATAGGCAGAGTCTTGCTGATTATAGCAATGTCCTCATGGTATCTTCTTGCCCTGGTTCAAAGTACTAGTTTTCTTTTTAATGGTACCAATGTCTTCAATAGCCATACCTCCTTTGGCCCCAATTTTACATTTTTTTTCAAGCTAAAATTCAAGTTTTGCAAATCTTTCTGCTCTGCTCTTTGCTCCTGATTTTTCACTAGAAATCTGGCTAAAAGCAGCTAGTAGTACCAATGCCATAGACTGAAAGTTGGGTTGCCTTGAAATTTCCTGCAGTAGATCAGCTGGTCTGCCCACCTTTATATTCATTCTCTTAGGACACAGACAAAATGTGGATATGTTATTTGCAAGAATGCAACAGTTGTGATCTCTAGTACAATTCCCAATAGAGTCCTCATTCCCAACTGAAACCTTATGAGGTTGGCCTTTGCCTTTACTGTCCATAATTTCTATGAATATTCTGGTTTCTGAGCTCCAGCCAGAATCACCCATTATAGTCTGCTGACAGCATCCTCCAGCCTGCATCTCCAAATTTTCCAAACTCCTCCAGTTCTAAAGACTTCTGAAGCACATGGTCAGGTATAGTCATAGCAACAACCCTACTTCTCTGGCATCAATTTTCTGTATTGGTCAGCTCTCCTGTTGCTATAACAAATATCTGACACCCACAATTTACATGAGGCGAGGTTGCACCGTTTCAAAGAAGTCTGTCTGACTCCAAGGCAGAAATAGCAGAAAGATCTAGAAGATCAAAGCTGCTTATTTTGTGGTGGCCATAAAGCAGAGCAGGGAACAGTGCCCAACAGGAAGAGGGCAGAAACCAGATGTAGATGCCAGCGTCACACCTCCATGACCCACCCAGACACACCCAGAAGTGTGCTTTACTAATCACCAAGCTAATCAAGTTGACAACGTGAACTGTCCCAAAGACATTTTCCACTTTGAAAAGAAAGGCCTCCAGAAGCTTTTTGCTTCAGTGAATCATGGAGATTGATATTTACTTGTTCAGAAATTAAAACCCATAGTGTGTTTCAATGGCCTTTTCATTTCAAGTCTGCAAACGGGTAATAGCATTTGGCTTTTAAAGACCTTATCATAGCTACACTCCATGTAATTCAATTCTATTTTTTTTATTCCAACTCTGAATGATTGGTGTCGAAAGGGTAGCAGCATTGGACTGACATCATGACACTATAATAAAATGTCCTCTTCCCTGAGACACCAT